AAGAGAGGAAGGAAGGAGAGGAAGGAAGGGAAGTGAGGGAGGGAAAGAGAGGAAGGAAGGAGAGGAAGGAAGGGAAGTGAGGGAGGGAAAGAGAGGAAGGAAGGAAGGAAGTGATGGAAGGAAAGAGAAGAAGGAAGGAAATGACGGAAGGAAAGAGAGGAGAGAAGGAGAGGAAGGAAGGGAAGTGAGGGAGGGAAGGAGAGGAAGGAAGGAAAGAAGTGAGGGAAGAAAAGAGGAAGGAAGGAAGTGACGGAAGGAAAGAGAGGAGAGAAGGAGAGGAAGGAAGGGAAGTGAGGGAGGGAAGGAGAGGAAGGAAGGAAAGAAGGGAGGGAAGAAAAGAGGAAGGAAGGAAGTGACGGAAGGAAAGAGAGGAGAGAAGGAGAGGAAGGAAGGGAAGTGAGGGAGGGAAGGAGAGGAAGGAAGGAAAGAGAGGAAGGAAAGAATTGAGGAAGGAAGGAGAGGAAGGAAAGAATTGAGGAAGGAAAGAGAGGAAGGGAGGTCCTTCTCAAGACCAACCTCCAGGCCGTACCTTCAGGTAGCCTTGTAAAGATTTCACTTGCTTCTGGGCTTCGGTGGCGATGCGATTGGCATGGCTGAGCTGGATCTCCATCTCGTTGAGGTCGCCCTCCATCTTCTTCTTGATCCTCAAGGCCTCGTTGCGGCTGCGGGTCTCGGCGTCCAGAGAAGCTTGGAGCGAGTCCACCGTCCGGAGGTGATTCCGCTTGGCCTGATCCATCTCCTCGTCCTTCTCGGCCAACTTGCGCTCCATTTCGGCCTTGATCTGGTTGAACTCCAGCTGAGCTCGGAGGATCTTGCCTTCCTCGTGTTCCAGGGACGCCTGGGGGAAACGTTGGACGGAGAGAGAGAGAAGAAGATGGGAGAGACAATCCTTAGATCCTGGGTAGCCAACATGGTGACTGTGATACCAACAGGAACTCCGGATACGAAGATGTGGCCTCCAGAAAGCTCTGTATGTTCTGGATTAGCATGGCCGCCATTTTGTGAGAAGGCAATTCTATCACCGTGGCCATTTTGTCTGCACCTGCCAAGTTTCCAGTGCCCGCAAATATTGCTACCCCTATTTCCAATGAAGAAACAAAAATGCAAGTGGTTCTCCACTTACAACAGTTCTTTTAGTGACCTTCACACCTACAACCGTTACAGCATCCCCACGTTCTACGTGGTCAAAATGCTCCTCCTTTAGCGACCTTCCAATGATCCGAAGTCAATGGGGAAGCCGGATTAACTCAAGAATGGTGTGACTCGCTTAACAACTTGCAGGGATTCCACTTAAAAACCACAGCGAGGAAGGTCGTCAAGTGGGGCGAAAAACTGACTTAACAACGGACTCGCTTAGCAACAGAAATTTTAGCCATAAGTCGAGGACTGCCAGGATCCTATGAATGGAACTTGGTCCCTATCGGTGGCGCTAGCTATGGTGTGGTAAATTTCTTAAAAACCATAAACACAATTGTTTCATCCCTGTTAAGCTTCTAGATTATCGATCAATCAGAATAGAGCTGGAAGGGAACTTTAGAGGTCTTCTAGTCCAACCCTCCTCCTATTTTTGAAGATGATAAGAAATGGAGTCTAGGAAATCTAGTTCTGGCCGCCATTTTGAGTTCTTTACCCACATTCTGAAGCCCGGGGAAGAACTCAACTGAAAACAAAATGGCGGAGAACTTGAGTTGAGGGTGCTGGTTTTCCACAGCCCAGAGGACTTCTCACCTCAGCTTCCTCAAGAGCCGCCTGCAGCTCCATCTTCTCGGCCTCCAGCCCCTTCCGTGCCTTCTCAAGCTCATGAATGGCCTTGCCGGTGCTTCCCAGTTGCTCGGTGAGATCAGAAATCTCCTCTGTATGATAAGAGAAGAAAAAGTTGGGTCGTCCAGAGGAAGAAGGACCTAGAAATAAGGAGGCTCTGAACGTGAAGGGGATGATAGACCCACCTTGCAAGTTCTTGTTCTCCCTCTTGATGGTCTCCAGATGTTCCAGAGATTCCTCATAGGCGTTCTTCAGCTTGAAGAGCTCCGTGCTGAGGGACCTGGACTCTTTTTGAGATGCTTCCAGCTCAGTTTGGGACTCCTCAAACTTTTGCTTCCACTCCGACAAGATCTGGGGTGGAGGGAGCAGGAGGAGGAGGAGGAGAATCAGAAGAATGGGGAAGAGGAGAAAGGAGAAAGAGGAGGAGGAGGAGAGGAGGAAGAGGAGAAAAAGAAAGAGGAGGAGGAGAATCAAAAGAATTAGAAGGAGAAAGAAGAGGAGGAGAGATTAGAAGAACCAGAAGAAGGAGGAGGAGGAAGAAGAATGAGAGTAGAAGAATGAGAAGGAGAAAAGGAAGAGAAAGAGGAGAAGAGGAGGAGGAGGCAGAAGAGGAGGAGGAGGAGAAAAAAGAGGAGAAGGAAAACGAGAAAGAGGAGCAGGAGAAAAGAATCGAAAGAAGGAGAAGAAGGAGGAAGAAGAGAAGGAAGAGAAGGGGAAGGAGAGTAGAAGAATGAAGAGGAGGTGAAGGGGAAGGAAGAGAAAGACAAGAAGAAGACAAAGAAGATGAGGAGGAAGGAGGAGGGGGAGAATCCGAAAAATGGAGAAACAAAGAGGAGGAGCAGGAGCAGAAGGAGGAAAATGAGAAAGAGGAGCAGGAGGAAGAGAAGAATCAAAAGAATGAGGAAAAGGAGGAAGAAGAGAAGGAGAAGGGTAGAAGAAGGAGGAGAAGAAAATGAGAAATGAGAAGAAAGAGAAGAGGAGGAGAAGGAGGAATTGGAGGAGGAAGAAGGAAGAGGAGGAAGACAAGAAGAGGAGGAGGAGAAGGAAAATCAGAAGAATGAGGAAAAGGAGAAAGGAGGGAGAAGAAAAGAAGGAGGAAGAGGAAGAAGAGGAAGAAGAGGAGGAGAATCAGAAGAATGAGGAAAAGGAGAAAGGAGGGAGAAGAAAAGAAGGAGGAAGAGGAAGAAGAGGAAGAAGAGGAGGAGA